AACATACCCCGTAACATACCCCGAAACATTCCCCCGAAACATACCCCGTAACATACCCCCGAAATTGCAGGTAAAGTAGCTCCTGATGCCACGAGACATACCCGAAACATACCCCCGAAACATCCCCGAAACATACATACCCCGAAACATACCCGCGAAACATACCCCGACCCCAACACGTGTCACGCGCCTTCCCGTTAAAATGCAAAACCATGTAGGGATCCTTAATATGATTTAAGGTATATTGCTTAATTAAGCAATATTGAGCTTCTAGGGTTCACCTAAACCCTAAACCCTAAACGCTGCAAGCCTATCCTTAGGTAGATAGAATATTTGACAATCCGAAAAAAGAAAACCCCCTTTCCAAAAGGATGAATCGAATATCAAAAACCCCAAAACGACGGATACAATATTGGCCTACAGTTTAGGCGAAGAGAGGCGCCCCAGGGGTCGGGGTCAGCTATATTCTATCTATGGGTTGCCGCAGGAGTTGAAGGTGCTCTCGGAGGGCGCATCCTGGGTATGTTTGGAGTTTAGGGTTTAGGGTTTAGTTACAGTACGTGCTGTAAGGGCTTGGGGTGTGGGTACAGTATGGCCTCGGGCCCTCCGGCCAGAACCCAGAATGGTAAGAATGTCTGCGGAACATACCCAAAGCCTTTGGGCCAAAGCCCTATGAACTGACCAAGAGCACCATCGCCCTGCACACACCACAGGTGGAGGTCTTAAGGTGAAGGGTTTTAGTCGTTTCAGCCCTGCAGCTGTTCCCTACGCAAAAATAGAGCCAGCTAGGCCTTATGTTGGTGTAAGGGAGGTTACATGATCCCTAACGCGATCCCTTGTCTTCTTTCAAGGGTTCTGTCCTTGGGTTTTGTAAGGGGCCATCTAAGGGTTCCCCAATCAAGGACCCACCCCTAAACCCTAAACCCTAACCTCTAAACCCTAAACCATAAACCCTAAACCCTAAACCCTAAACCCTAAACCCTAAACCCATATTCATGGGACCATGCAGCTGCCATGAAAGCGAAATGTGGGGCTGCGATGTGGTGCTTGGTATATACACTCAAAACCCTAGACCTCGAACCTTTAAAATCTTACCCTAAACCCTACACCCTAAGCCCTAAGCCCTAAGCCCTAATAAGCCCTAATCCTAAACCCTAAACCCTAAGCCCTAAGCCCTAAACCCTAAACCCTAAACCCTAAACCCTAAACCCTAAACCCTAAACCCTAAACCCTAAACCCTAAACCCTAAACCCTAAACCCTAAACCCTAAACCCTAAACCCTAAACCGTAACCCTAGCGCACTCCTCGCAGCTCGGTTGCAGGATCGGCCTGCATCAAGAGCTACCTTGGGCCAGGGCCATCTCCAATGAGGAGCCTCTCCAAGAACGTGGTTCAGGGCTTAGGGTTTAGGGTTTAGGGTTTGGGGTTGAGGTTTAGGGTTTAGGGTTTAGCGTTTAGGGTTTGGGGTTTAGGGTTTGGGGTTTGGGGGTCTTTGGTTTTGTTCTATTTCTCGGGCTTGGCTTTGTCATGGTTTTTTGGTTCGGGACGGTTACTAGGTGGCGGTCTACCTCAGTCACCTACTTTTTGGTGCCGTGCAGTTCGGTACTCCAAAACATAAAACCCACTCTCCGCCCAAATATTTCTTTGAACTCCAATTTTGCTTTCGGTCCACCGAGCTTCTGTTCGGGGTTTTCGGTTCATCTATAGCGATTGAACAGCTCTAAGCCCCCCCCAAATTCCCCAAGCCCCCAAAATCCGTAGCCGTAGACCAATGCACACTCCTCACTTGCGAGGGCAAACATAAACTGCCTTAAGCTCTAAACAGACACGCGCCTACACACTTAACGCCCCATGCAGACCACAGATGCCTGAAACCCGAAACCCTTAACCCCTAAACCCCAAACTCTGGGTTTAGGGTTTAGGGTTTATAGGGTTTAGGGTTTAGGGTTTAGGGTTTAGGGTTTAGGGGGCCTTCGCTTACGTTGGAGGACTTCAGGCTCTTCATGATGGAGCAGGCCCCGCCGTTTGTCGTCGTTTTAGGCTCTGTGGGCGCGGGGGTAACCAGGGTTTCCACGCCACTAAGACCTGAAACTCTAAACCGCGTTCGTGAGGATATGGCGTTTTTGAGGCTTCGGAAGGCTAGCAGGGGAGGCTGTGGCCATCAGGGTTTCGGGTTCCTTGGGGACGAAATGAACCCTAAAAGGGCTTATGGCTCATTTGCCTGAATAGGAATTATAGTAGTCAGGGTATATGACCCCAATTTTAGGGTTCATTTCGTCCCCAAGGTTTCGGGTTCAGGGCTGAAGAAGGCGCCACCATCGAGAAACCGAGAAGACGGGGATGAAAGAGTGACAACCGGGGAGCATTTCATCGAGCAGCCGCCCTCGAACTCATTTCTAGCTGAGTTCTACCACCATTGGGTTCGACAACCTCTAAGCGCAAACAACCCGAAATCCTCTTAGGAGCGCGTCGTCCGGCAATGTGTTTCAGATGGCTTTACGGATCAACCTCGGGATTAGGGTTTAGGGCCTCGGTTTTGGTCAGCTTAAGAATGGCTAGCTGAAGAGCGCGGTGCATGGGGAGGGGCCTTAGGTGTAGGGCCGCACCGAACATGCCATGCCCCCACCACATACAGCACAAAGCTCCGAACACGAAAATGCTAGAGTCCTAACTTTCCTGACTCCTAAACCCCTAACCCCTGAACCCGAAGCCCCCGAACCCTAAACCCTAGCCCTAAACCCTAAACCCTAAACCCCTGAACCCCTCAACCCCTCGACCCTGAACCCCAAAAAGCCCTGCCAGACCTGGGCCACCGCTGCAGACCTGCAGGCACACATAGGCAGGGCGCGGAGGATTCAGGGCTTAGGGGTTTGGGCGGCCGACCATCTCAAGAGCAATTTGGGAATCTTAGTAGGGAGTTTGGCCCGATATATGCGTCTCTTGAAGGAACCTGTGTTGTACGCCTCTGCACTTGGATCAGGTTCCCCACATGCTGTGGGCTTCAACGCGACCGTCCTGAAACACAGGAGCGAACTGATGGGTTTCCGAATATCGGGGCACCCTTTTTGGGGTGTCCTATAGTAAGGATTCTCGTATATTATGGGGTATAGTATAGGGGTACCCCTATTTTGGGATGTGGCCATATCCAGCAAGGGTGAGTGAGGGTCTGGGATGAGGTGTTTGCAGTGCCATTCAGGAGTGTTGTAAAGCTTTTGCTTGCCTTGATTTCTAGTCTTACTGCTGCCACTGCGCCTCAGAGAAAAACACCCCACGTCGCCGCGGTTATTGAGGTTTCAGCGTTCTTTTTTAGAAGAGGCCATCCCTTTTCAAACACCCCCAGAACCCTGAAGCTCCCTCAGCCACCTAACACACCCTAGAAACCGGGAAGCCCCCTGAACCCTGAACCCTAAACCCTGAACCCTAAACCCCAAACCCCTACACCCCCAAACCCCAGACCCTAACTACAGCAACCTCGAAGCCCAAACCCTGTGCAACTAGATTTTCCGGCCCTTTGCCGGAGAGATCGAATCAGTCGGAGGGGGGCGGGCGGGGGTTATGAATGGGAAGTCAACATGAAACCCTAACCTGGACCCCAAAGTATGCATAAAAGTCCAAGTCCCAGAAAAAGGCCATGACATTACAATGTAATATCATTCTTCAGGGGTAGGGAAATCTTCCAACCCTAAACCCTAAACCCTAAACCCTAAACCCTAAACCCTAAACCCTAAACCCTAAACCCTAAACCCTAAACCCTAAACCCTAAACCCTAAACCCTAACTCAAAGGATGCTCGTCACGGAGCCGAGCGTCAGCATCTTCGGGGAGCCGCTGACGGCGCGCCCCCCTCCCGGGGTAAGAACGGATGGGTTTAGGGTTTAGGGCTAGGGTTTAGGGTTTAGGGTTTAGGATTTAGGGTTTAGGGTTTGGGGTTTGGGGTTTGGGGTTAGGGTTTAGGGTTTAGGGTTTAGAGTTTAGGGTTCGGACTATGGGGTTTATCGGGTTTTTAGGGTTTATCATAGGGTTCATTATAGGGTTTGCAGGGTATAGGGTTCAGACTTATGTCTTGCTGTGAGACTTCAAAGCCCGAGGGAAGACTCCCACAACATGTTTGTAGGAGCAAAGAAAAGAGAGTGGGGGATGGGGGGGGGGAGGGTGATAGGGTTGCTGTGTTTAGGGGTTTAGGGGAGCCTCTTGTCCGCGTAGAAAGAGAGCACATGAGGAACACAGAATAATTCTTGCTGAGGGGCAGGGTTTAGGGCTTCAGGGGTTTCGGGCTGAGGGTTAAAAGTTTAGCATGTAGGCTTGAACTTTTTTCCACTACAGACGCAGAACCCAAGATCTCTACTTGTTGCTGCTGCTAAGCCCTCCTTGTAGGATTCTAAGGCAACCGGGTGTTGGGTTCCAGCATCCCCTAGGCGAATCCATGCGGGTAGATTCCCTAAACTAAACCCCTAAATAGCCTAAACCGCTTGGGTTCTTTTTTGGGGGGGTATTTAGTGTAACATGGACCCGCGGATTCTTGTGTTTAGAGCGCATACTTCCCCGAACATAAACTTGCAGGGTTTCGGGTTGTAGGGCTTAGGGTTCAGGGTTGGCTGTAGGACTGAGGATAAGCTTCATGTCATGAAGGGCTTGTGGCACTGTGGGGTCTAGGACGGCTGTCTTTATGTGTGTCGCTAGCAGAGTGACACACGAGTTACTGTGCAAGCACCAGTATCGGAGACCCAGCATCATCAGCAGAGACACTTCGTATGTCAACATCCATCAAGGCCGCTGCCGCCACTAGCCGCTGCCGGCTCAACTCTTCGAATCCCTGTAGGGTCCCATCATGCATTGACCCATCGGCCCGTTGGGGACGAATTAAACCCTAAAAGGGTTTATGGCTGATATACCTTAGTAGGATTGAAAGTAGTATCGGGTTTATGACCCCAATTTTAAGGTACATCTGGTCCCCAAGGCCTTGTTCCTTGCCTCACTCCCCTAAGCAGCTTGGTTTTGGCCATGGCAACGCCGGAGGACGTGAAAGCGGACAAGCCAGGCTTCTTCGCCGCCGATGTGCACACGGCGCTGCGCCAGCGGGCCGATTGGCTGGACGGCTTGGGCGAGACGGCCATTCTGGACGCCGACAACCTCGACTCGGATGACAGCGAGCACTGGGAGGGCAGCACCACCGCGGCGAAGGAAGAGCCCGCGGCCTCCGAAGCCGAGGCAGCGGACGCTGGGACCAGCACCACCACGGCCACCACGCTCAAGGGGTCCTTGTCTGATCTCCTGGCAGCCGGCTTTGCCAGAGTTGAGTGCGAGCCCCTGGATCTTGCGGGCGCGCGCGAGCGCTTTGCGCGGCTCGACAAGGTCTCCGCACCCGTGGTCCTTGAAGGGCGTCCGGAGCCTCCTGCACGGAGGCTGCAGCGATTAAAGACCGAGGTGGCCACCCTGGCCAGCTGGGCCGAGCACCAAAGCAGTGCCGAAGCTGGCCAGACCGCCACGAGGCTTTGTGACGAGGTGCGTGCAGTCGCCGAAGACATGAAGTCCGCTCAGGACACGGCGGATCCGCAGCGCATCTGGCTACCGCCGCCGGATGGAGAGGACCTTCGGCAAGTCTGCCGACTCGCAGCCATGGCGCCAAGGCCGCAGCCGAGGGCGCATGGAGAAGGCGCAGCCGATCCGGTTCCGTACACGCTGACTGCGCCCTCTTCGGGCTGGCTTCTTGCGGCGCAGGCCGAGGCAGTAGAAGACCTCGAGGCAAGGCTCGAAGCCGTTCGCGCGTCACTGGGGCCGGCGGAGGAAGCTGAGGCGCTGGGTGACAGCTTGGCAGCTGCCACCTCGCGGCTGTGGCAGAGGTTGCAGTGGCTCGAGGAGATCACTGGCGGCGGCGCCTGCGAGCGGCTTGCGGCGTCCGCAGAGCTGCTCTGCACAGAAATTGACCTTGCTTCAGCAGAGGCCTCGCGGTTAGAGGCCCTGGAGGCAGAGCAGGAGAAGGAGGAGGCAGAGCTGATCAAGCCCGTGTCCCCTACTTCCAAGCAACTGGCTGAAGAGGTCACGGCCAGCGTGGAGACGACTGAGGCTCAGGTGCATCGCCTTTTTGAACAAGTCGCCGGTCTCGATGCTGCATCGGCTCGCGTGGCCGAAATGACACTGGGTAGCCCAAGTTCCTTTTGTTTTGGTTCAGGGTTCCCTTATAGAGTCTTAAAGTAACCAACCCCAAAAAACGGGCACCCTTATCAGAATATGGCTACTGGGCTACCAAGGACAAAGCAGCTGCAAGGCCAGGACGCTCTGCGGCTTCACCTGGAAACCTTCGCCGCCGAGTTGGCGCAGGCGGAGGCGCGCTGCGCGACGGCTTCGAGCACGCTCGGCTTAGCCGCCACGGCCGCCGGTGCCCTGAAGGAATCTTCCAAGGCATGCACCGAGCAGATCCAGCAGGGTGCCAAGTCTCTGGAGGCGAAGATTTCGCAACTCAAGGGCAAGGGTGCCTGACCGGCCCATGTCAGTGGAGGGATGCTGCGAGGCCAAAAGAGTTTGGGACTGAATCATGTGCTTCACAGAAAGCTTTACAACTGTCCCAGACCTCTGAGCATTTTGCACAGTCGTCTAGGTAGGTCCTCCAAGCCTTAGAACTCAGTGGAACCTTCACAGGTGGGAAGACCCTAAACCCTAAACCCCTAGCGGTTTAGGGTTTAGGGTTTAGCGTTTAGGGTGCTTGTCAAGCGCTGAGTCGAGGCACGTGTGTGAACACTCGTGGTTGGGGGGCCTGAGGACTCGACGTACGATTGCCATTTCAGGATAGCCAATTCTTTTGCGATTTAGGGTTTAGGGTTTTTTAAGATTGGAAGATCAAGCACCGAGACCTATAAGCCCTGCAGCCCTCAACAAGAAGCCCTAGAAGCGTCGAACCCCAACACCTACACCCTAAACCTCCCAGTCCATGAAAGTAGAGACGTTGCCAGGAGAGCCAGCTCAGGGACCTCGCGGAACAGGCTTCTGGAGTTTAGGGTGCAGGGTTTAGGGTTTAGGGTTTAGGGATGTTGGGGTCTGGCCCTCCCACCCCCCCCCCCCCCCCCCCCCCCCCCCCCATATCTTGGCTTTGTTGTGGCTGGCTCTTAGGACTTGAGTTTTTGGGGTTTTTGTAAAACGACAATAAGGAGGCGAAAAGTTAAACTTTTAGGAGGGGTTCAGAATTCAGCCAAGATATAGGCCCAGAGAGCTCAGTGGGTTTGGGGTTTAGGGTTGAGGGTTTAGGGTCCAGGGAGTAGGGTCTAGGGTTTGTTATAGGGTTTATAGCGTCTAGGGTTTCATCCTAGGTTTATTTGTTTGGGCTCATAGGGTTTATAGGGTTTAGGGTTTGGGTTGCGTGCCTAACATATCCGGCTGTCTGCGCCCTGTCTGCTCATGTGCTCATGGGGTCATGCCCTAACTTTTGTCAATTGAAGTTCAGGGATTTGATTGAGTGCTTAGGGTTTTAGAGTTGCTTTTGGTTTTCGGTTTTTTGAATTGGTGGCTTTTCTGGCTTTTCGGGTTTGGGGGTGTAAGGGCTCCCTTGCTCGGTGCAAGGCTTAGGGCTTCGGAGCTTGCAAGGGGAAGAGCGAAGGGGGGTGAGTTGGGGCTCAGGGGTTTTTAGGGTTGTGGGCTTCAGGTTCCTGAGCCCTAAACCCTAAACCCTAACCCTTAACCCTGAACCCTAAACCCTAAACCCTACACCCGAAAGGCTGAGCTCGCCGCCCGCGCGGAGGCTGCGACGCCACCAGAAACCACACAAGCTTCACAGGCGGCGGACGTGTTATGCTGTCTAACTGGGACCAAGGTGCTGGGGGTGTAGGGTTTAGGGTTTAGGGTTTAGGCCTAGGTTGTGGTACCCTTTTGCCTTTTTTTAGTTCAACGTTTCCCTTTTCAAGCAGCCAACCCCAAGAAGGGTGCCATTGTTTTAATATGGTTACTGGCTGGGCTACCAAGTGTCTACCTAGGACCAAGTGCCTAGGGCGTATACGGTTTAGGGTTTAGGGTACCCAGAGTAGGCCCTTCCTTGGGGACGAAATGAACCCTAAAAGGGCTTATGGCTCATTTACCTTAATAGGAATTATAGTAGTCAGGGTATATGACCCGGTTCATTGCGTCCCCAAGGCTGTTCCCTCCTCCTAGGGTTCAGGTTCCCTTATCAACCCCTCTGAGCCAAAAAGGGTGCCCTTTCTGTGCCTATAGGCCTATAGGTTATACTCTTGGGCCTAGCTAACGAGGGTTCACTGAACTCTGAATCAGGGAGGACAGAAGCTTAGGGTTTGGGACTACAGGAGTTTACGGATTCGGGCGGTTTCATAGGGTTTGGCATGATGGTTCAGGGGTCTAAACCCTAAAACCCTAAAACCTCGAAACCCTAACACCCTGAAACCCTAAAACCTCGAAACCCTAACACCCTGAAACAGGTCCCTGCAGCTCGGCTGCAAAATCGACCACATGACCCCAGGTTACAAACATGAAACTCAAGAGAGAGGAAGTGGTTCATGGTAGCAATACTTGGAGTCACCCAGAAATACCTGGTAGTCTCTAAACCCTAGATTGGGGTGTTGCCCCTCATACTAACAGTCCTTAAACGGGATGTTTGTAGGGGCTACTAGAATCCCTGTCAAGGACTGTTAGTATAAGACCCTAAACCCTAACCCCTAAGCCCTGAAGCTTTCTATGTTCGTTTTTTCGGGGTTTAGAGCTTGCGCCCGATGAGTGAATAAGTGCCTGAAGTCCATCGTGCTGGTTTGAGGCTCAGGGTTTGACTTTGGTGCCTAGAGCTCATGGCCTTTTCTACTACCCCTCATACTACTCCCCTAGGTGTCCCCCCTCAAATAACCTCATTTAGGCTTGATGATCTCTAAATAGCCTTAATTATGGGGGGGAACCTAGGGGCGGTAGTATAGATTGGGGTAGTAGGTAAACCCTAAACCCTAAACCCTAAACCCTAAACCCAATAAACCCGAACGAGAAGGATCTGGACAGGATCTGCCTTCCCTGGATGGCGCCATCCTAGCCCTCCTGGGTCTAGGAGGGTTTAGGGTTTAGGGTTTAGAATCTTATGGTTCTCCTAAAGACCCCAAAACCATGAGACCTAAACCCTGAACCTTCCACCCTGATTCATGGGCCCCGCCTAGAACCTCGGCCCCCTAAACCCTTAGACACCCTTAGTCCTAAACCCTAAACCCTAAACCCTAAACCCTAAACCCTAAACCCTAAACCCTCTGTCCTGCGCAAAGCCATGGTGAGCCTTTTCAGCCTGGGGAATGAGTGCCTGGCCGACACGGACAGCTACCTGCAGGCGAAGTTTGCCAACGCCAAGGCCAAGGCCAAGGCAGCCTGGGGGTTCAGGGTTTAGGGTTTAGGGCTATTTCGGGTTATGCAGGGTTTAGGGTTTAGGGCTTAGGATTTACCCAGAGTAGGTGCCTCTTTCGCTTTTTGGGCGGGGCTCCCTTTTTAGCCCAACAAGGGTACCCTTTTCACTCCCTAGATTGCTCATTTGGGCCAAGGTGCGGAAGGTGCGGAAAGACCCCAGCGGAGATGCCAGAACAAGGCCTAAGTCAGGACTTCAACCCGAAGATCTCGACGAGGCAGAGCGAGAATTGCTGGGCTTGGCACGTAAAACTGACGCTTGGTAGCCCAGTGGTACCCTTTTAACCCTTTTCTTGGGATATGGGTTCCCTCATAAAAGCGACCAACCCCAAAAAGGGTGCCCACTTACTGTAATACGGTTACCCAAAGAGCCCAATATTGCTGAATTAAGGAACATTCCTTATATCATAGAGGGATCCTGAATATGATGTAAGGTATATTCCAGAATTACTCAACATTGGGCTCTTTGGGTACTGGGCTACCAAGGAAGGCAGAGACAAGCAAACGCCGGAGGTTCCCGCGCCGAACGAGCATGCCTCAGGTGCCTCGCAGCGGTTGTTAGGGTTTAGGGTTTAGGGTTTAGGGTTTAGGGTTTAGGGTTTAGGGTTTAGGGTTTAGGGTTTAGGGTTTAGGGTTTAGGGTTTAGGGTTTAGGGTTTAGGGTTGGGCGTGGAGACGCCCAGCCGCTTCTTAGGTAGCCCAGTGGTACCCCTTTTCCCTGTTTTTTTTGGGGTTCTGGGTTCCTTATAAAGTAACTAACCCAAAAAAGGGGTGCCCTTATCACTTAAACCCTACACCCTAAACCCTAAACCCTAAACCCTATACGGTTACTGGGCTACCAGGCTTTGTCGCCACCGCTAGTGGAGCGGTGCTGGACAGGCGCAGCTGCCAGGAGGCCCCGCCTCAAGCGCCGCCAGTGCCTCCCATGCCGCCTCCGTTCCCTGGTCGGAAACTTAGGGCTTCTTGGGAAGACTTTGTGACTTTCGGGTGCTGAAATTCCTAAGGAACAGCCAACAAAAGTCATACTTTTTGCTAGGGTTCCAAGTTCAGTGTAGGAAAGAGGTCGCGCAGAAAGCGGGAGCGAGCCGAAGGAACGTGAAGGAGGTGGAGGACTCCCACTGGAAGCAGCGAGGAAAAGGAAGCAGAGCGCAAGGCAATGCTGCGGCCACGCACCACCACGACGTGCTCGGCGAGCTCCTTACTATAGCCCAGTGGTACCTTCTGTCCTTTTTTTTGGTTTGAAGGTTCCTTAGAAAAGTACCCTTCCCAAAAAGGGGTGCCCTTATTCATCCTAAACCCTAAACCCTAAGTTATTATGATATTAAAACCCTAAACCCTAAACCCTAAACCCTAAACCCTAAACCCTAAACCCTAAACCCTAAACCCTAAACCCTAAACCCTAAACCCTAAACCCTAAACCCTAAACCCTAAACCCTAAACCTCAACCCTATAAAATATGGTTACTGGGCCACCAAGGCTCCTCTCAGAGCAGGAGCGCCTGATACAAGCGAGGCATCGCTACATTGGGGACGAAATGAACCCTAAAATTGGGGCTCATATACCCTGACTACTATAATTCCTATTAAGGTAAATGAGCCATAAGCCCTTTTAGGGTTCATTTCGTCCCCAAGGTATGATCACGTGGAGAGTCATCGCAAGGAGCACTTCTCCGACCGCTTCTCCTGCTCTTCCCGTGCCTCGGCGGTGCCCCCGGCGGTGCCCTCGGCGGTGCCCACGTCGTTTTCACCTTCACAGGACACTCAGGAGTAGAGAAGGCAACCTTTAACCTTTTTTGGGTTAATATATTCCCCGGATAATCCCAAAGGTTAACCTTTAAAACCCCTAGGTACTGGATAACTAAGGACACGCATGGGGGAATTGGTCAGGGAGAGGACGGAGACGCAACGAAGAACAGGGTGCCCTTCGAACGCACCGCCGACTTGACGGTGACGCTCCTTGGAGACTTCGTGGACGAGCTGCTCGGTCGGCCCTTGGGGGACATTTCATACTTTCGCTTCTGGGGTTTTAAGTAAGAGGATCAAACCCTAAACCCTAAACCCTAAACCCTAGACCCTAGACCCTAGACCCTAGACCCTAAACCCTAAACCCTAAACCCTAAACCCTAAACCCTATTCAGGAATGTCTGTCAGAGTCCTTTAAGGGGCCATCCCTAGGCTGGCGGAGGGCTACGCGCAGCCTTGGTTCCAGGAGCTGCTTCTGGAACAGCCCGAGGCGCGAGAGCTGAGCCTTGGTTGTTGCAGTGGTACCCTTTTTCCTTTTTTTGTGTGTTCAAGGCTCCCTTGTAAAGAAGCCCTAAGCCCTAAACCCTAAACCCTAAACCCTAAGCCCTAAGCCCTAAACCCTAAACCCTAAATGCCCTTGTTGGAATATGGCTACTGGGCTACCAAGGAGCTGCCACGAGCCGGGCAGCGAGTCGGCGCGCGAGTGCGCTCGGGCCTTCCTGCGGCGCCTGCAGGAGCTTGGGGAGGAAATGAAGCCTAAGAGGGTTTATGGTTCACATACCTTACTAGGATACCCTAAACCCTAAACCCTAAACCCCTTTTTTTCAAGGTTCATTTGGTCCCCCTCTAAGGAGCTCGCCTTTCAGGTTCAGAGGCCGATCCTCCAAAGCTGGGGCTTCGAGGGCGAGCAGGGCCTCTTTGACATGACCTCGACTCTCACATCGCCAAGAGTTGAACTTCATGTTTTTGCGTTTTCTTATTATGCTAATAATAATAATTATTATTATTCAGTTGGAATAACTCTACATCGCCAAGAGTTGAACTTCAACCTAGACTCCTTCTTTTAGGGTTTAGGGTTTAAGGTTTAGGGTTTAGGTTTTAGGGTTTAGGGCTATCGGAGAAGTAAGGATTCTGCTGGAGCACTCGAAGACAGGCCCGAGCTGGCTGCAAGAGAAGATCGACGCCTGCCTATTTCTGCTCTACGGCGGCCCAAGCGGGCTTGTTGGGAAGCAGCTGCGAGGAGAAAAGGTTAGGGTTTGGGATTTAGGGTTTAGGGTTTAGGGTTTAGGGTTCAAAAGGGGCAGAAGAGCAGCCCACCAACAAGCAAAGACCCCCGCCTAACTTCCCCATCAAGAGCAAGTATAGTTATGGGTATTCGCTGGTCCTGCTCTGAGACCCCCCAGCCGGCTCATATAAATATAAAAATAAAGTCTGTATTCATGTTTAGTATACTATAGTATATTATACGACTGTATACTGTATTATGCTATTTTATATTGTACTATGCTGCATTATGTCTTGATGTTATACTAGAAATCAATAATCTCAACCCATTTGCGGACGGGGGGTGCTTTAAACACGAGTTCTCCTTCCGAGAATCAGCCCAACCACGGCCCTCCAGGTGTCCCCAACATGACGTGTGCGCAATTAGTTCCCCTTAGCGAGCCAGGGCTTAGGGTTCAGGGTTTAGGGTTTAGGGTGAGAGCCTGTGGGTGGGTAGGGGGTCCTATGAATGAAACCTGAACCCTAACCCAAACTCCTAAACCCCAACCTCTAAACCCTAAACACTAAACCCTAAACTCTTTCCGGTGCTTGGGGTTTGGGGTTTCGCACCCCATTAGACAAGCAATTCTTGTTTTTCGGAGCCCAATGAATGGACGCCGCCGTGTGGGCCAAGCAGTCGGGTTCTTGCAAGTAGGGCACAAAACATGCTGCCAGCCCCCCCCCCCCAGAAAGGTTTTCGGGTTTCCAGATGTGCTTAGGCAACCCAGCCTCCCCAGGTCTCAAAAAACAACTCGACCCTCTAAGCAAGCCTCACCCTAAACCCTAAACCCTAAACCCTAAACCCTAAACCCAAGCCAGCCTGCCTCAACTGATAGAATCCTACTCCTGAAACCAGGAGCTTTGACGCCCTAGTCTAGACCACACCTCGACCCTCAACCCCTGCACACAACCCCCCCACCCAAGCCGTCCCCCTAAAGCCTAAACCCTAAGCCCTGAACCCTGAACCCTAAACCCTAAATAAACCCTAAACCCTAAACCCTAAACCCTAAACCCTAAACCTGGAAGTGGGACCTGTTGTTGGGGTTGCCGTGCATGGGAACCCATGGCCTCGCCGATGACTGCGCTGCCCTGTACTCAGAAGTACAAGGGGACTCTGAAACCCTCAAGGGTTTAGGGTTGAGGGTTTAGGGTTGAGGGTTTAGGGTTTAGGGTGTAGGGTGTAGGGTTTAGGGTTTAGGGTTTAGGGTTTAGGGGTTTAACAACCCCAACCCCTCACAGAGGGGGGGCCCCTGTGCAGGGAGGCCCCCCTTCCTACACGAGCTAGCCATACGTAGAGTAGCTAGTGTTGCAAGCAACAACCCCGAAGCGGGGGTTTAGGGTTTAGGGCCTAGGGTTTAGGGTTCTGGGTTCTGGGGGTTCAGGGTTTAGGGCGCAGGGAATTGGGGAATATGGTTCCGAAGAAAAGTCTGCAGAAGGGCTCGCCATCGGGAAGTAAGGCGCCGAATCCTTGAATTCCTTACTAGGAACTGGTGAGTTTTCTGGCGTCCAGGGTTTTGGGGTAGGGTTTGGTGTGGGACTCTAGGGGTTTTTGGCTTTGGGGCTTTGGATGGCAGCTTCGTTTTTTTTTTCTTTTTGGTGTGTGTGTGTGGGGGTTTAGGGTGTTATAGGGTTCCTAAGGGAGGGGGTTCCAGGTACCTAGGGAACCTTAGGGAAGCTTAGGGAGCCTTAGCGAGGCAGGCGGACGGGCAGCACCTGACTCGGGTCGGGGCTTTGCGCGTCGCATGCCGGTACTGGGTGGTCGGAACCGGACGCCTGCGCGTCTACGTCTTCGACGGTTGGAACGCAAGGGTGGTCAAGCCACTTTGCGACGTCGCACGTGTTGTGCGGCAGCGCGTCGCCCTCGTCGCTGCGTTGACTGGGAGCGTCAGCATCGCTGCATCGAATGGGGCAGCTGCCAGTACACGTTCGGCTACGGCTGCCTCGGCCACGAGTACTGCTGCGTGTTGTGCTTGCAGGGTCCTCCCTTCCCCTTAAGAACCCTACAAGGGTGGGTTAATGTTTTTGGTTTTCAGGCGCACGGTGGCTAGACGGGTTGGGTACAGTCCAGGCGCAACCCCAACCCTGAACCCCAGCCCTAAAACCTAAACCCTAATCCCTCAACCCTAAACGCTAACTCCGCCCTAAACCCCATGCATAAACCCTTCACCCCAAACGCCGGAGCCCTAAACCCTAAAGCCTGAACCCTACACCGCACACCCTCAACCCTCAACCCTAAACCCTAAACCCTAAGCCCTAAGCCCTAAGCCCTAAACCCTAAACCCCGAAATCCCAAGCCTTGTGTGGCCCCACGGGGTGTGGACTTCATGGGCGCCCAAGAAACCCTACTCCTAACCGCAAGAGCATGACACCCTGAGTGTAAGGTTTAGGGTTTAGGGTTTAGGGTGTAGGGTGTAGGGTGTAGGGTGTAGGGTGTAGGGTGTCTAGGGTTCTGGAGTTCTAAGGTTCTGGGGTTGTGGGGTTCCGGGGTTTTAGGGTTCTAGGGTTCTGGAGTTCTAAGGTTCTGGGGTTGTGGGGTCTGGAGTTCTAAGCTTCTGGGGTTGGGGTTCTAGGGTTTTAGGGTTCTAGGGTTTAGGAGTTCTAAGGTTCTGGGGTAGTGGGGTTCTAGGGTTTTAGGGTTCTAGGGTTCTGGAGTTCTAAGGTTCTGGGGTTGTGGGGTTCTAGGGTTTTAGGGTTCTCGGGTTTTGAGGGCAACCCAACCCAAGCCCTAAAGCCAGAACTCCAAAACCCTCACGGGTTTAGGGTTTAGGGTTTAGGGGTCTAACAACCCCAACCCCTCCTGAAACCCTTCACTCTTGGGCCCTTCCTTCGGGTGCTTTTGGTTGCACCTGTTTCACCACACCCGAAACCCAAGTCACTTTTTTCTATCAACCCTCAACCCTAAACCCTAAACCTTACACCCTAGACCCTTCCCCCCAACCCTAAACCCTAAACCCTAAACCCTACACCCCCCCCCCCCCCCCCCCTTTCCCAGGTAAGATGGCTGACGACCCTCCCGACAGCGCCAGGCTTCGCCCCAACAAGGCGCCAACTCTTTTGGTTGCAGTTTTAGTTGCGTTGCTTTCTGGGCCTTAGTTTCCGGCTTAGGGTTTAGGGTTTAGGGTTTCGGATTTCGGGTTTAGGGTTTTACTTGAATAATCCATATAATGCTTAACATATCTTTTGGGTTTTCATGGAAAATCATATATGGGTTGGGGTCTGGGAAGGGTCATGTTTGGTCTTGAGGCGTCCGAAGTCGGGATTGGTCTTTAAAAATATGGTCTCGGCTTGCGTTTACGAAGCAAACCTAGTAGAAAAACACATCTGGGTTGGGGCCTGGGGAGGGTCATGTTTGGTCTTGAGGCGTCCGAAGTCGGGATTGGTCTTTAAAAGTATGGTCTCGGCTTGCGTTTTGCGAAGCAAACCTAGTAGAAAAAACACATCTGGGTTGGGGCCTGGGGAGGGTCATGTTTGGTCTTGAGGCATCGTAAGTCGGGATTGGTCGTAAGAAACATGGCCTCAAGTCAGTGTCATATACAAGAAATAGTGGGTCGCGCTATTGTGCAACCAGGTGTAGCCTAGCTCCTTCTAGAGCGACAAAAACTTCTGGACACGTCCATGAAGCGTCGATCACGGGTAGAAGTTTTCATCGGAGTTGAAAAAAATCATGGAAGAACGCAGTGCCCCTGAAGCAAGATCCATGCGCCGTAGGATTGAAAACACCCTCCTCAACTTTTCCGAAACATATACAGGCGGTGTCTCTTCGTGAAAGATCCTGGCGCGCGCGCCCATGCCTAGGTTGTAAGTTGTAAGTGGCAACCAAACACCACGAAAAAAAAAAAAAAAACTCGACTAGTTTCTGACACGAAAACATGGGCCCCTTGCCCACCCCCCCCCCCCCCAAACCCAACCCCCCCATCGCACGGTTCCTGCCACCGCAGACCCCTTTTTTTGGGGCACCCCCCGCCGCCCGCCACGCCCCCCCCCCCCCCGCCCCCCCCCCCGCCCCCCCCCCCCCGCCCCCCCCCCCCCCGCCCCCCCCCCCGCCCGCCCCCCCCCCCCCCCCCCCGCCCCCCCCCCCCCCCCCCCCCCACCCCCCCCCCCCCCCGCCCCCCCCCCCCACCCCCCAACCCCCCGCCCTCCAGGTCCCGGCCCCACCGAGCCCGCAGTACCTGGTCGGTAACCGGTCGGTAACTGACCTCAAATTGCCTGTTTTTGGCCTGTTTTTGAGCTCCCGACCGGGTACCGACCAGGTACCGACCGGGTACCGACCGGGTACCGACGGGTACCGACGGGTGCTGACCGGGTACTGACCGCGTGCCGACCTGCCCGCCCCAACCCGTGTGGGGGCGGTGGGGGGGGTTGGGGGGGCGGGGGGTGGGTGGGGGGGGGGGGGCGGGGGTGGGGGGGGTTGGGGGGGGGTGGGGGGTGGGGGGGGAGGGGCTGGAGGGCTGGAAAGACTAGAGGGGCTGAGGGGCTGGAGGGGCTGGAGGGGCTGGAGGGGAGGGGTGGAGGGGCTGGACTGGAGGGGCTGGAAGGGCTGCAGGGGGGGGCTGGAGGGGTTGGAGGGGTGGAGGGGCTGGAGGGGCTGGAGCTGGAGGCTGGAGGGGGCTGCAGGGGGCTGCAGGGGGCTGGAGGGGCTGGAGGGAGAGTCAGATGCGAGCAGCATCGTTAAGTCAAGCAGTTTTGTCCGCCAGACTGGCCTCCATCGAGAACAAAACAGGAAACAGTTTCGATAACAATCTTCACGAGGCTTGAGTAAGCCCAATATTTCTAGGAGCAAGTCCAAGATTTCTCAGGATTCATGACAAGGTCAAGCCCCGAAACTTGCAGGGCGGATCCTGGTTTTCAGCGATCTGAACCAAGTTTTTAATGTAATAAACCGCAGACAAATCCCAGATTTCAGATGAGTAGATCCAAGATTCTACTTAGACAGAACCCAGATTTCCGGCCACAAGACCGCAGACAGAACCCAGATTTCCGGCCACAAGACCGCAGAGAGAACCCAGATTTCCGGCCACAAGACCTGAGAAAAAACCCGCCTGACGACACCGACTTTTGGGGATATGTTAAGCATTATATGGATTATTCAGGGTTTTACTGTTTAGGGTTTCGGGTTTCGGGTTTGGAACTGCGGGTTTGGAGATTGGGCGGTTTTAGGTTCCTTTTTCAGTGTTTAGGGTTTTACTGTTTAGGGTTTTACTGTTTAGGGTTTAGGGTTTAGGGTTTCGGGTTTCTCTTTGCAAGCCTCCTGGCCTGAACTTGTCGCTCAACGAAACGCCGCCCGGCTGAAGCCGCCTGGCCCTCTCCGGAGGTTCAGGGTTTAGGGTTTAGGGTTCAGGGTTTAGGGTTTAGGGTTTAGGGTTTACCTGGACCTTCTGTGTACGCGAAAAAATGGCCACAAGCCAAATTAGCACCAAAAACAGCCAAGCTGCAAACACCGCCTTTTTCCTGTTGAGGGCGCACGCACCCAAATGCAAAGCAACAAAATGCTTCAGGGTTCCTTCTGCGTAGCTCGTGTCGACCAGAGGTTTGCTTCTGATGCCGTGACAATGTGATGCTACAGGTCAAGGTTCTCGGCTGTTTCAGCAAGACAAGAAATGAACTCCGGCAAATTCCGCCTTTTTCCGGCAAATTCCGCCTTTTTTCCGGCCATTTCCGCCTTTTCCTTCAGGCTTTCATGGCTTGGCTTCAGGTTTGCGTGTTGTTTGAGTTTGCAAATTCAGGGTTCCGGCTTGTGGCTTCAGGCGTTCGTTGCTTCAACAAGCAAGAATCCGCAGAAAGCGTAGCAATCGAACGTCCTCGAGTAGAACACCATCACAAATTTCAATGTCGCCTTTTTGTCGGCTGCCAAACCAAATTCCGACTCGCGGGCTGTTTTTGGGTCCATGTCTTGAAAAAGGCTGTTTTCATGGACGGGCTGTTTTTCACGTCATTTGAAGGCTCCAGGTAGGGTTTAGGGTTTAGGGTTTAGGGTTTAGGGTTTAGGGTTGAGGGTTGAGGGTTTAGGGTTTAGGGTTTAGGGTTTAGGGCTTCAGCGGTTTAGCAGCGTCAGTGGAGCGAAAAAATGCTCGGGCTCTTGTTATGGGTCGCGAGCTCTCAAAGGAGATAGGGTTTAGGGTTTAGGGCTTAGGGCTTGGGGCTTAGGGTTTAGGATAAAGTCTCTGAGAAGATTCGTATGCAGTGAAGCCTATAGACCTTCAAGCCGAAGCCCTAAAATCAGGCAAAGGGCTAGGTCCCTGTTGACCAAACGAACCCCCCCCAAAAAAAAGGGGCCATATATACCCTACGATACGATCATCCCTCCTACGAAGGTACATGAACCAGAAAGCTCCAAGCCCTAAACGCTCAGCCCTGAACCCTCAGCCCCAAATCCTAAACCCTTTGAGGGCCCTACACCCTAAACCCTGAACCTTAAACCCTAAACCCTAGACCCTAAACCCTGGTCCGAAGTTTTTTGGTCTTCCCGGGCCCGCGGAAAGGCCATTCGCGTCAACCTGACGCACGATGGGCAAAGCTCAGTGCGTCCGAGCCCTCAGACGCTCTGGCTTGGGGGGTTTAGGGTTTAGGGTTTAGGGTTTGGGGTTTAGGGTCAAGGCGGCAGTGTTTACAGTGCTAACTGTCCCTCGGGGACACGTAATATGCGTCTAAGCGGAGCCCACGAGTCGATACTTGTGACGCTCTACGGAGCCTGCAAACCCTATAAAACCCAAAAGCAGGTTAAACATCGAAGATACCCCAAACCCTGTCAACCCTATCAACCCTATCAACCCCATCAACCCTATCAACCCTATCAACCCTAAAACCTAAACCCGAACCCCTAAACCCTAAACCTCCTAGACCCTGAAACCAGGGAACCAGGGCTTCGGGTTGTTTAGGGTTGTTCTACAGCCTAAAGCCCCTAAATCCCCTTAAACGCCTTCCTTGAAATCTACACCCTAAACCCTAAACCCTAGCCCTAAACCCTAAACTCTATAGACCCTTTCAACCCTGTAACCCCTACAAGGGCTGTTCAGGGTTTGCTGGAAGCGCTCTGGGGCGGGCCCGAAGCTGTTTCAGGGCAGGGTTGAAGGTGTAGGGGTTTAGGGGTTTCGGGGTTTCGGGGCTTAAGGGTTTAGGGGTTTCGGGGTTTCGGGGTTTATGGGTTTAGGGGTTTCGGGGTTTCGGGGTTTAGGGGGTTAGGGGTTTCGGGGTTTCGGGGTTTCGGGGTTTCGGGGTTTCGGGGTTTATGGGTTTAGGGGTTTCGGGGTTTAGGGGGTTAGGGGGTTCGGGGTTTCGGGGTTTCGGGGTTTCGGGGTTTCGGGGTTTATGGGTTTAGGGGTTTCGGGGTTTCGGGGTTTAGGGGGTTAGGGGTTTCGGGGTTTCGGGGTTTCGGGGTTTCGGGGTTTAGGGGGTTAGGGGTTTAGAGCTTTGGCTTCCCTAAACCTGAAACCCTAAACCCCCAAAGCTGGGCTTCGGGGCTCAGCGCGCTTCAGGGTGTTGTTTCGAAGGCACTTGGTGATGCCATTGGCATATTGGGCGTTGACCCAGGGCGTCGCGGTGACATACCAAATGAGGCGGACAGATGTCTGCTGCATGACAAACCCTTAACCCTAAACCCTACTTAAAAGCGCCTTCCGTCGAGAGCAAGATCGCAAGAGCTCTGGTTGCTGCCGGTGGCGGCGCCGGTGCGCTTGTTGACTGCCGCGAGATGAACAGTTAGGGTTTAGGGTTTAGGGTTTAGGGTTTAGGGTTTAGGGTTTAGGGTTTAGGGTTTAGGGTTTTAGGGTTTAGGGTTTAGGGTTTAGGGTTTAGGGTTTAGGGTTTAGGGTTTAGGGTTTAGGGTTTTAGGGTTTAGGGTTTTAGGGTTTAGGGTTTTAGGGTTTAGGGTTTAGGGTTTGAGTTTGGGTTTAGGGTTTAAGGGCTAGGGTGTTCTGCGTTCGCCGTTCACTTGCCTTGTTAGACGAGTTGTTTAGGGTTTAGGGTTTGGGGCTTAGGGTTTTGGGTTTAGGGTTAGGGTTCAGGGTTTAGGGCTAGGGTGTTCTGCATTCGCCGTTCGCTTGACTTGTTGGGCGAAGCTCTTCGGCTTTTTTGGTCGTATAGGCAAGATAGCCTACAAGAGCAACCAGCACAACCCGAAGCCCTAAAAGGTATATCCACAGAAACCTGCAGCCCCTAACCCAAACCCCAAACCCCAAACCCCAAACCCCAAACCCTAAACCCTAAACCCCAAACCCTTAACCCTAAACCCCTAAACCCACCTGACTCTTTCAGGCGTTGACGCATGCAATCTAGGTTCGCAAAAGGCCAAGTCCCAGAAGCTCCGGGCCCACCGCGGCATGTTCTGATTCCTTCAAGGCGTATGAACCGTTTAGGGTTTCGGGTTTAGGGTTTAGGGTTTAGGGATTAGGGATTAGGGTTTAGGGGGACCAAAAGAAAAAGAAAACCCAAAACCCCAAACCTAAAAGGGCTTATGGTTCATGTGGGGGAGTCGTTGAATTAAGATCCCTTTTGTGGTTACTAATATAAAGCGGGCCCTAATATCTAGGGTTCCGAAAAGGGACCATAAGTTTAGAGAACTGACCTTTCGAGTTCGTGTCGAAATGCCCCTGAACATCCGCCAAAATCCCCAAAAGTCTACACCACTTAAGCCCCAAACCCTAGAGAATGTCCTGCGTACCCTAAACCCTAAACCCTAAACCCTAAACCCTAAACCCTAAACCCTAAACCCTAAACCCTAAACCCTAAACCCTGTCCCCAGGTCAACACACCGCGGGCTCGGGCGTGCATTCCGAGGACTCCGTTGACCGGTCCACCACCCCGGCCAGGGGCCCTACACGTAGGGTTTAGGGTTTAGGGTTTAGGGTTTAGGGCTCAGGGTTTTGGGACTCTTCAAAGTTCAGTTTTCTCACAGTGGCTCGGCGGAGACTAAAGATATTTAGGCTCTGACGAGATAGGCCCTTGAAACATGTGCTACTCTTCCCTTATGGGGTTTAGAAGAGGATCAGGTCTAGGAATAGGGTTCAGAGGTTTTATAAGGGCCATCCTAGATGATAGGGTTTAAGAGGATCAGGTTTAGGAATAGGTTTCAGAGGGTTTTATAAGGGCCATCCTAGATAGTAGCCAGACAACTCCAAACCCCAAATCCACGGCCTCCGCCGCTGAAGGTATCTTCCTTAAGGGAAGGGCTTCTGCGAAACCATAAATCCCACCGCAATGCTACACCCTAAGCCCCCTAAACCCCAACCCTCTGAACCCCAAACGCCCTAAACCCCTTGAACCCCCTAAACCCTAAACCCTAGACCCTAAACCCTAAACCCTAAACCCCATAAAC